AAAGGTCGACCCAGCATAACATGGGTATTAAAATGGCTGTTCTGGGGAAGTAAAGACTGTTGGCGTAATGCTGACGACATTACCCACCTAGTGCCACTTGGTCTGTAAAAATATGGGATGCTCTTCCTATATGCCCAATGCACCTGAGGCACAAAAAAGGATCTTCACTTTATACGTATGTAGACAAACAATGGCCAACAATGGAGTGCCTGAACTTTGACGACATGTTGGCGCTTTCAGCATAAAGTCCCAGTTTAGCCTCTTGTGACTTTTCCTAATCCAAATGCTCGAGGAACATCTCAAGGAAACAAACATGCTACTGACAAGAATGTGGCAGCTGATGAAAGTACCTGGTTTCATGAAAAATTGCCCAAGTGTTTTCGGATGGGTTTTGAAAAAAATTGGTTCCAATCTGGCGCATGTATGCAGAACATGATGATGGCTACGTTGAAAAAAATGGCACCTTTTTTGAGGGACATTCTAAGCTTTCAGAAAATGTATATTTTATGTGTACAATGTGTAAATTAACAAAGTTATACATTTGGAGGCATTACTTTTCAAACTGCCTTATGGTGGTTTCTCTCATAACGGCAACACTAGCCCTCTCAGACTGAAACGGTATCTTATCAGCCACAAGACTAAGCCATTCCTGTGTTTTTGCTGGGACCTATAAAGGAAGCAAGTCATCTGCCAAGCAAGTTGCCAGTATGTTACCAGGGCCTGTAAGAATGAGGTGGCCAGGCTTTTGCCAACCCTACTTTATGGCCTCTTAAGTAAGACATGCTTGGTAGTTACTTCCCCTTCCCCACCTACCCTTTTCAGGCATTTTAGGCATAAAGGGCTAGAATATTTATACACCAATCAGCACTCGGTGGGTAATGTGGTCAACATCATGCCAGCTGCGTTTACTTCCCAGGACTTTACCTGGTACCCATAGACGGCTGGGCTGACCTGGGAGCCAAGTTCATTTCTTTTTAAAAGTTGCAGCTCTGTCAGCACTTGAACCCACCACCTTCAGATCTGCAGATAAGCATTGGTAACACATGTACAACATCATTTTGTTTAATTCATATTAAGTGCCAATTAAATGCTATTGCAGTGCCTAGAGTTACTCTTTGTAATGGTTGTTTCCACAGACTAAAGATGTATTCTATCTATAAGTATAACTTAACAAATGACATTTTATCACATGACATATCCACAAAATTAAAAATGACTGTCTACTAAAACAGCAACAAACAGTGTTGGATAGCTAAGCTACGCAAATCAACAATTACAATAATAATACACTTAAACATTTACAGACAACCATCAATTTAAAAAAAAAATAATGCGCATTATGAAGCCATTGTGGGGAAAATTGTAGATATAAAATTGATTATTGCCAGTGTAAAAAATATGAATAAATAAAAATGGCTTCAAGAGTCAAATGAAACCAGAGATCCACATAATACAACACACCGATGCCCCTAAAAGTTGGCCAGTACAAACCTTTTCACAAGATAGCCACAACATTGTCCCTCTAAGCAGCCCGGTGAACAATTTCAGCCCTTGGTGCACAATTTCAGCCCTTGGTGCACATATATTCTGGCCCAGCTCACAAGAGAAAGTGTGAGCATGAAATCTACAGGCTCAATGCAGGCTTACTCACAACCTTAATGCTTGCAGATAATGAAAGTATAACTTGCCACTTGCTCGACCAGGTATGCTGACTGCTCTAATTATGCTACTGCAGCGACTATGTAAATGAAGTATCTCACAGTACCTTTTGCAAAGTCACCAATTTCGTCTTGTCCCTGTCCGAGAACATCCGGTAATACGTGCAGCAGAAGAAAATCAACCCTGAGCCTCATGAACTCAGGTGGGCCCACTCTCTGAAAATGTCTAGGAGCTCGTGGGCCGCAACATTTGTCGACGAGAGATTACTTCTACTGATGATTGGTAGACTCCTGCTCCCCTGTGGAGTTTCTTCTTATTGTGCTCACAACAAGCCACACCTTAAAGAATCCCGCTCATAGCTAGGCAACATCAGTACTCGCTGGACACATTATCACTTACAATTATGCAGATAAAGACATGACTAAGAGTAAAATGCACATAAACATTCAGGAAATACTTTAATACAATGTAGGTCAAAATACAAACGAACAAAAAAAGTTTCAAATGCTTGTGAAATATTACTGGCCCTTATACAATGGTGGAGACTGCATTCCTGCTGAGTATGAAAGGACGGATGGAACTTGAAGGTATTAGTGTGGCAGCTTTTGACAAAGGCAAAAAAAATGTTTAATTTACAATAAAAGGATCTTTTTTATGTCTTGAGGTGCACCATCCATATATCTTGTCTAGTATTTTGTTTACGGTCACCTGCGGATTTAAGGTCGTAGGTTTGGGCCCTGATGGAGCCAGACTTTTTTTGTTCAAAAATGACTGTGCCTCCCAGGTTGACCCAGCCTTGAGGGGGTACCAGATAAAGTCCAGGTAAGAAAAAGCGGTTGGCATGATGCTAACCACATCACCCATCAAGTGCCAATGGTTCTATAAAAAATAGATCCAGCCCGAGGTTTGAAAAAGGGGAAAAGGATCTTTTACTTAGTATATTTTTAAACCAATTACCACCTTGGTCACCTTTACTTCCCAGGTCACAGGTGATGTCTACATAATATTTGTCACCTTTACTTCCCAGGACACGGGTGATATCTTCACAACGCGGGTCACCTTTATATCCCAGGACACAGGTGATATCTACACCAAGCTGGTCACTTTTGCTTTACAGGACATAGGTAATACCTACACAATGCTGATCACCTTTATTTTCCAGGACACAGATGATATCTTCACCAAGCTGGTCACTTTTGCTTCACAGGACATAGGTAATACCTACACAATGCTGATCACCTTTATTTCCCAGGACACAGGTGATATCTACACCAAGCTGGTCACTTTTGCTTACCAGGAAATAGGTAATACCTACACAATGCAGATCACCTTTATTTCCCAGGACACAGGTGAAATCTACAACAAGCTGGTCACTTTTGCTTCCCAGAAAATAGGTAATACCTATACAATGCTGATCACCTTTATTTCCCAGGATACAGATGATATCTTCACCAAGCTGGTCACTTTTGCTTCCCAGGACATAGGTAATACCTACACAATGCTGATTACCTTTATTTCCCAGGACACAGATGATATCTTCACCAAGCTGGTCCCCCTTACTTCCCGGACAGATGTGATATCTATACAAAGTTGGTCAGCTTTACTTTCCAAGACACAAGTGATATCTACACTATGCTCATCAACTTTACTTCCCAAGACATAGGTGGTATCTATAACCCGTTGGTCACCTTTACTTCCCTCAAGATAGGTGATAATCCATCCTGAAGAGGATTTTTTTCTTTAAAAACTTATTTTAGTTTCGAGATCAACCCAGCCTAGAATGGGTATTAGGTAATGTCCTTGGAAGTAAAGGCAGCTGCCTTAGTGCTGACAACATCACCCATTGAGCACTGACTAGTCCATCAAAATAAAGGTCAGCACTATTTGCCCAATGTGCCAAAGTCATGAAAATGGTCCTTTACTTTCTCATAATTTCACTTTAATGCAGGGACGGCAACCTTTTTTTTTTCTTCTGCAGGCCAAATTTATAATCATCAACCTGGTCTTGTGCCATATAGAAAAGAAAGAAAAAGGTTATTATAAACTAACATCCAGATTTCCTCAATATTTCTGTGGGATATCTGAGATCATAATCTCTTGCTACACATCTGGTCAGACACACTTCCCCACTGAAGCCTTCTATATGTTCTTAAATGTGTTTGTTCAAACTGGTAATTTTCAGAAAACATATTATTCATGGAAAGTGGGAAGAAAATCCAGATTATATAAAAATTTTAAACCAGCCTATCGGACCAGTAAAAACTGTTTGGCAGGCCAGTTTTGCTAAAGCCATCACCTTAATTGTTATTTCAATTGGACACTAGTCTTGTTTCAGAACCTGTGTGTTGCATGCACATTCATTTCACACATCTAGCTTATTTGTATGCAGCACGTAAGGGCTTTGCCTCTCAGGCAGATGCACCCGACTCTGAAGTTTATCCCCAGCAATTTTTCATGCTTGAATTCTTATCTGAATAAGAGGAATTTCTTACAAGAACAATTTCTCGTGTCCCCGGCAAGTTCTCCTTATCGGATCTTCATTGTATATTGCACAATTTACTGCCTGATATATTCTGCTATATCTCATTAGATGCATTACTACAGCATTAACATCAAAATATAATGTTGCACAAAACATTAATTCTTTCTGCTGAACGACATAAATCACATGGTCTCTACTAACAGTATATCCCACAACAAAAGTCTAAGATAAACCACCTAATGAGATACAGAAAAACATGAAAGGCAATGAATTGCAGAACCAACCCCAGCATTTTGTGTGTGGCTGTTATGGTTTTTCTACATTCAGCAGTTTTCCGGGCAATGAATTATGCACCACATTATTTGTGTCATTTTAAACTTGTTCAGTGCCAAGGAACACATCATATGTAGATTTATACCTAGTTTAAGTCCTCTGGTACCACAAGAGGCAAAAATCACAACAGGAAAACTTTGTATTTAGGTAATTTTTTTGTTTCTCCATTAAAAATGTGCTCTGGGAAGTTATAAAAAAATTTCAGGTTAAGAATGAAAGGCCTCTTGTCCAAGCAGACACCATGTACTACACAGGCTAGGATTATGATATAAAACCCAAAACCAACTGGGATTCAAACATACGTCCCACAATGTGTAAAGCTGACAAACTGATCTCCTATTTCTCAAATTTGTTTAAAAGAACATCAAATAAATTAAATGTATATATAAAATTATAGTAATACAAAAATTTCCGCTGTAAAAACCTTAAAAGATTAATACTTCAAGCAAATTAGACAGAACCTGTAATACCAATACATGTCCGCTCTATTTCATGACTTGAAAAAGAAAAAAAGAAACTATCTCCACTACATAGTTAATCCAATCTGAGGCAACTTTGTCTGTGTTTTCAGGTGAAAGGACATATTATCCTGACTAGATATTTGATGTGGTTTTTCGTTGATCAATGTCCAATTTTCATATTTTGGCATGACAATGAGGTGCATGGTGGAAAAGTTTCGCCTGACAGCAGTTCTCTTTGTTGTCAGTGCTGTAAGAAGATGGCTGTGGCAACCGTCGCCTTAACCATGCATGGCGTAGAGCTTGAGAAGGAGTGAGTCGCTGCAAAGGATCCCAATCCAAAACTTTACGTAAAAAGTTCAAAAATAATGGATCATCACAACCTTTTAGTGCCGTAACCAGATCTTTACTGCCGGGTAATCCACGAGGCTTGCCTCTACGTGAGTTGCCACCTTGTAAAATCTCTGTGCCGTCTGGCAATGTGTTCACTGTACAGTACCGTGGATAACCTTTGGATGAGATGAAATTACGGGCTCGTTTTGCCTGCTCAAGTAGATGCGGTGGAGGCATGCCAAGTAACTCAATAATACAAGCCAGTTGATCGCCTTCCTCTTCCCCTGGAAACAAAGGATAGCCAGAAACAAGTTCTGCCAAAATACAACCTAAGCTCCACATATCGATTGGCATGCCATATTTAGCTCCTAATATTACTTCTGGTGCCCGGTAAAATCGTGACTGAATATACGTGTACACTCTTTGATGCTCGTAACAACTAGAGCCAAAGTCGATCACTTTAATCCCACTACGTCCTTGCTGCTTCAACAGAATATTCTCAGGCTTCAAATCACAATGTATAATTCGATTCTTATTAAGTGCATCAAGACACAGCAGTATTGAATGTGCAAACTTACGAACCAGCTGTACGCTAAACCCTTTAAACCGATTTCTTTTTATTAATTCATATAAATTGACACTTAGAAGCTCAAATGTGATACAAATGTGATTTCTGAATGTAAAATTTTCAAACATGTGTATGATGTTCATATTATTATCTTTATCTTGTTTCTTCAAGTGTTCCAAAATTCTGATTTCTTCCTGTGCTTGTCTGTGAAAACGTTTCTCGTTTTTCACCATTTTTAAAGCTACAAGAGTCTGATATTTATGATCATAAGCTTTAACCACTTGTCCAAAGCTGCCTTTTCCAATCACTTTCAGAACTTCAAAGCGGTACGAAATATGATCATGCGGAACATGGACATATGATCCATTATCGTCGTCATACCCATGATTATTTGTTCCTCCTGCTACTCCTCGTTTCTTCTTTGCGTTCTGCCCCACAAAATAAACATCCGGGTAGCTGAATATTTCATGGTGCTCAAATGAGCTCAGCCTTTGCATATAATGCTTCATTGCAATGTCTGGACTCATCCGGTTCTCCTCTGTATCTTTATTTCCCTCACCACTGCTCCTGCCTTCTCTGGAAAGAAGACCCGTTGGTGCATCTCCGCCATGTTGAATCACTTCTACTTTGTCTAACCTTTGCTGTTTACACTGATCTTCGAATACATGCTGACTTCTCAATCTCTGCACACTACCGCTATCTCTGATGCTGCCTCTGTTAGCTAAAAGTGGAAGATGTTGGAGAAGCCGGCCACTTTCAGAAGCCTGTGTGTATAGAGGCAAAATGCTTTCATTTTCATGCAGTAGCTGCTGCTGCTGCAGCGCCGGTGGGTAACCGAGCCTCACGTCGGTTGTCATGTTAATGTTAAATCTCCATAAACGTTACATTCTTTCATATCGCATTCCCCTGCTCCTTAGCTATTCTTCTCAGAAAACACAATATGCAAAATCCATACAGGGTGAGGGTCTGGCAGAGCACAAGAAGAAAGCAGGAATCTAGCGGAGGGCTGTCACCAATGGTCGCACAGATTATTAACGGTTGCCAGGTACGACCCCTAGCCAAAGACATCTCGATGACGTCATGTAGACAGGCGTCACGTGTCATCGACAGCTCCTCGAACAAGATTCATATTATTATTATAAATCTAAAATCAATAATCATATATTTATTTGCAATATATGGTGATTTAACACTATTCATATAAACAGTGACAGAATTTAACACTATACATATAAACAGTGACAGATTTTGTTAACTGAACTTGTGAACCGAGGTGTTGTTGCCTCTGGCATTTTGTCTTCTTTTTTTCCCCCCTTAAAAAAAAAAAAAAGTGCATGTACTCACCACAAAATGCCTTTACAAACGTGCACACGTTTTTGGATACCCCAATATATGTGTGCTACATGGCTATATGCTTGAACAGGGTTGTACCGGTTAGATTCTCATCCTCTAGATGTTAATCTGGAGGGAGGAAATTAAAAATAGAAAGGAAAAAAAATGCTGTTAACACACACAAATTGACGTACTGGCACTCACCACAAAGTGTCTGTTATAGTTTACACACACACACACAAACAATGCTTTAAAAGTGCGAGTACTGCATTCCGTCAAAAAAGAACTGCCACTGACAAATAAAATTCATTTAGTAGCAATTTTAACAATGATATTCCGTTCAGCCCATCAGGGTTAAAACTAAGACACATAGAGTGTTTTTAATTATATTTCGATAATGGACTTGTATGGTTATGAATTACTTTTGGTTATGTTAACAATATCCCATTCCAAGATGTGGAATCATACAGATATCTGGGCAGTAATGTAGACAAAGGGAGTCGCCGTGGTCTAGCGGCTAAAGGCTCGCTGACGGATCGTAAAGTCATGGGCTCAGTTCCTGACGAGGGCCATATTTTTTTTTCCTTTAAAAAATGACCTTGGCTCTCAGGTCAACCCATCTTTGAGTGGGTACCAGGTACAGTCCTGGGAAGTAGAGACGGCTGGTGTGTTGCTTACCACATCACCCACCGAGTGCCGTTTGGTCTATATACAATATAGGTCTAGCCCTATGTACCCAATACCTCTGAAAGACGTGGATGATAGAATCACTTATCTTGAGCTTTGGGAGAAAACTAAACAAGTTCCAATGGACCAAGCGGTAAAGAACAAACACTGGTGTTGGATAGGGCTCACGCTGAGAAACTATGAGAACAAAATAACTAGAAAGTCTTTGCATTGAAACCCACAGGGGCATATAAATAAAAGAAGAGCGAAAAAAAATATTTTTTAGCTTTGTCGACCTGGATGTCAAGGTCAGTTTTGATAAAAGAGTCCGCAATACCTCCCAGCAGGCAGGCATGCTAAGTTAAATAAATCCTTTACATCAAGACATCAACGTGGCTGTTTCAGGACATGTCAGTTAATTGATTTTTTGTATTCGTGTAGTTTTTTTTTTTTTTTTTTTTTGACTTATGTTTGTGCTGATGAAGGCTCTGTAGTCGCAACGTTGACTTTTTGCTTGTGTTTGTTATATTATGAAGCTCGCTTATCTTTTTTCATTCGGTTTCATATCTTTCCTGTACAGCTTAAACAAATAGGCTTCTTTTACCATATGTTGTGTCGTATCTGTCACCATAAGCGCATGAACTCAGAGGGCTGCTGTGACCATAGAAAATCTGTTTAAAAAAAGGGGGGGGGGTGTAAATGATTCTCCTATCATGCACAGACGTGTTTTTTTTTTTTCAAATATTTCTTATTTTTCATTTTATTTCAGATATATTATTTTATTTATCTGCAATTCAGAACGCAATACAAATCATTATTATTTACACTTAAACAAGGCTTAACTCGTTCAGTCCCAAACAACGTATAGTGCCTGAATGGATTCTCCTAGTGAGCCTTAACCATCGAACATTGTGTTCCCTTACATTTTTATTTTGGAAATCTGGCTACTCATGTGTCTTCATCCTCTGTGTTTAACCTTGTTAGTTATTATAAATTGGTTTGCCCCATGGGCATTGGCTGCAAAATCGTCTGGTACTGAAAGAGTTAAGCTTGAGCTTTAACCCTAGAAAATTATAAAAGGGGTTAACAACTACCCCTTCCTTTAGTTTTGGTGTCAACAACCTTCTTTCTGGTGTTTCCTTCAGCTATTTATAATACAGATATTCCTCCGTGCACCTTAAAAATATGGACTATGAAGACATGATACGAATAGAAGATATGAAACAAATTTGGAAAAAGGCAAAGGACACTGCACCAGGGCCTGATGGGGTCAAGTATGGCCACATGAAGGCTTTGAGCGACGTGGACCTGGTGGAGATGGCTGAATGTTTTAACCAGAGCATTAAGACAACAAAAGTACCGCAGGACTGGGTGCACAGCTATCTAATCCCACTACTAATACTTTTTAAGGATCATTCAAAGCTCAGTGGCTTTAGAAATAATAACCTTACAAAACAGATTTGGGAAGGTCTTGGAGAAGATAGTTGTTGTAAAGCTGCAAGAAGCTTCTCCCAAGAGGTCTTGGAAGCTACAGGCCAGGAAAGGACGCATGGGCAAATGCGGCCACTTTTGCTTTTGACGTCTATTAAGGGTTCCAGAACATACAGTAAACTATGGCGGTAGCACTGGATCTCGAGAATGCTTTTAACAGAGTGAGATACGACATCTTGATGACTGCACTGAAGGAGAAGGAGGTCAGTCCATGGATGGTGAATTAGATTGCAGCTGTCCTGTATTCATGTCTGGTTGCTCTTCGACTGGGCGCATGGACCTCAGAACCATGCAGTTTGGCCCCATGCCACAGGGATCCGCTATCTCGCCTGTGCTCTTTAACGTGTATACGAGCAAGATTGCAAGCTTTGAAGCACCAGGATTTGGAAGGATACTGACTTTTGCGGATAATATACTTGCATATAGGCAGGGAGAAGAGAGGGAACAAACAGCCTGGGAGCTATAAGCGACAGTAGACAAAGTGACTGTGTACAGAAATGAGGGCTGTCGTCCACCCGGAAAAGGGGTCTGTTTTGTGGTGTTCTCTGGACAACAGGATTGTTAAAGCTAATGTCCCAAGTCTCACGATAGATTGTAGAAACATCAACAGAGAGAGCAAACTGAAGTATTTGGCAATTACATTTGACAGGAGCCTGTCCTTTAAGGACCATATTGAGATGGCCTGGGAATGCTTACCGTCTCAGAGAGCCAGATGGACAAACTAGAGTGCATTCTGGGCTGCACCAGAGACACCCCATTGGTGTGTATTCGATACATCCTTGGTTTGCAGTTAAGGGTCGGCGGCTGATAAGAGGGAAGTCATGAATGGTTCAGGCAGAAGACACAATCAGACAGGTTTATATCCTTGAGAACATTAGGTGAGGAGAGGAGTGGGTCACAGTGCCACCTGAACAGTCAGACTTGTGTAGGGTCATAATAACACTGAGCCGGGAATACAGAGACTGGCCAGCAGGTGCCTCAGAGGTGGAAATTCAGCAATTAATTCAAGATAATGCTCGCTCAGAAGATTTGATCATTTACACAGACAGTTAAGTGTCAAGAGGCAATAGAAGTGCTTGGGGTTTCTTAGCAAAAGCTAACGGTCGATGTTTTAGAGAACATGACACACACACACACACATCGTGATTAAAACTGACTCAGAAAGCATGCTGAGGAAGATCAGGACAGGCATGCTTCGTGCAGAGTGGCATGCCTCGCTGCAGAGGTCACGGGTGAGGAGTATTGTCTGGATTTTTTCACCAGGGTATGCCAATGTGTTGGGAAATGAACAGGCGGACAGACTGGCTGGCTCTGCACAGCTTGGTAGAATACTGATGCATGATAAGGGAGACGTGGTTAGTGCCTTGTGGGAGAGCCTGTACAGGTCGGAGGAGCAGATTGATCACCACAGTGTGGTGAGATTGATGCAGTTGGGAGTGACGTGAGGTTCTGGCAGATGCTTGAGGCTCAGAGGAAAGGCAAGACAGGTGTTTAATCAGAATGCTACCGGCACCACTAGTATCGGAACTCTTCGCTGGCTTCTGAAATTGGGGACAGAGCGCTTAGTGGAATGCCCCGAGTGCTGTGATGTCGGTTCTTGAATCAAATCAAATCAAATCCCCCGTGCCATTCTGACTAGCAATCGATTGGTCTCACTAATTCCCCGACCCTCCAACTTTTGTCTGTGGCTTAGGTGTTGCGAACGTGCTTCATAATTCTGGGGTGACAGGTTCGATCCCAGCTGCAGGCCTTGCATTGGTTTTAACAGTCGTAACAAGAAGCTGACTGCTCAGAAAGCAATGGTGAGCTACTGGACGTTAACTTGCCTAGAAAAACCACATGCAACTAACAACATCACTCTATATTCTAGCCATTGCTTCCCTTCCACCCCTATATTTAAATGCGTCTGTCCCCATGTGAGTTCCGAGGCCCCATAGTAGGGGAAAAAAGAATAGACCAACTGTCTCACCAACAATCATGTGGTAGAGTCGACTAATTGGGAGCTTCCTTTGAAGTTGGAGTACATCCAACAGGGTGGCAAGGAACAATCAATTGCATACAATAAGCCAGTCAAACGGATGTACACACAACACTCAGACCTGGCAAAAAGCCAAAGTCCAAATGGATGAAAAACTAGGACTTTCAGCTGGAGCTTACAGCTAGTGAACAAAAAAGAGGAAGAAGTTATTGGCACTGTATTAGTAACTGTTTACTGCAGTATTTTATGTTCACATGCTTCTTTAGTTGTTTAGTTGTTCTTCTTAAAAATATATTATGAAAAGTTATCAAACCGGATGAAAAGATATCAAACCACATGAAAAGATATCAAACCAAATTATAAGATATCAAACCAAATGAAAAGATAGCA